TCATCTGGGCTTGAAAATAAGCAAACCAGACGTTGTGCTTGAGTGGCCCTCTCCTAGCAGGATGAATGGCCTCTGTGCCTCAGCACATGTTCACCTTTGGCCACAGGGAGGACACAGGCGTCTGAGCTAATGAGTGCATCCCTCTTTGGTGAGTAGGCTCCCTGGGCGTGGAGACAGGCTGGGCAAGTCTGCTGCTGAGGTTTCTTTTTTGTAAACTTGAGCCATCCGGGACTGCCTCGCCTTTTGTAAAACTCCAGGGTATGAAACAGTTTCTCCAGAAGCACCTGTTGACAGTTTAAGGTCCCGTATTGGTTATCTGCTGCTGTGTAACAAACTTCTCAAAAAGTTTAGCAGCTTTAACCAGCAAATTCTTACTATCTCATAGTTTGCATGGATTAGCCTTGTTCTATTTGCAAAGTCTGTTATGAGGTTAAATCAAGGTGTCAGCTGAGACTCGGTGTTGGAGGATTCATTGCTGCCCAGGTTGCTGGGTGCTGGTAGCAGGCCCAGGACCTTGTGCCTGTGGCTGGATCTGTCAGTTCCATATGAGGGGGTTGTTTCCACAGGCACCTCACAAGATGGTGGCTGGGGAGGCCATCCCAGCCAGGAGCCACCTGATCTTATAACTTATCTCAGAGTAACAGTGCTTCAATTCTTCTAGATATACTTTATTAGAGGCAAGTCCGTGAGTCCAGTGCAGACTTAGCAGGTAGAGATTACACAAGAAGGTGAGAACTGGGAGGCAGGGGCCATGCGGTGCCTGAGGCGGCCTACTGGTGAGGAAAGAATGACACGTTGGAATTAGGTTTAATTATGTTATTTCCTACATAGAATTAGAGTGTCTGATATACTTATTAAAGCTGCAGTAGCTGAATCAGGCCAGTAGGAGGTCAGAGAGTTGCAGGAAAAGTTAACTAGATTCTAAGGGACCGTCTATAAACTTGTGACTGTCCAGGATTTTTGTCCCTAGTCGTGAAGGTTAAGTGTCTTATTTTTGCATCTGCTTCCCCCAGCATGGAAGATTGCTGATTTTTAAAAAATGCTCTCCCAGAGGGCTGGTGCCTGGAAGGCCAGTAGCCTGATCACTGAGGTGTGTGGGCACGTGGTGGTTTGGATGGCCATGTCTTCCTGATCAGCAGGATCTCCTTGTGGGGGGAGGTAATTAGGCCAGTGAAGGTCAGCACATCTGGAAGCCAGGCAGATGGGGGGCTAGCTCTGAGTTAGACATTTTGGATGCACATTAGTACCAGGTGCTGTGTGCCAGCTGGGTCCGTCTTGCCACGGGCACCCTCCTGCTTGCATCCACCTGGGTTGCTGTGCTGAGGGGCACGGCTGCCATCATGTCTAATGTTTCTGTCTCATTTCTAAAGGCAGTGCCCCTCAAATTCTCACTAACATGTTTTATAAAAGTTTAGTTTGTGTTTTTAAACCCAATTGATGTAGGCAGATTGATGAAAGCCATTCGTTTTCTTAACCTTATTATAAAAAAGGGGAGACCTTTGGTGGCCATCCTCCCCATTTCCTGCTCCCCAAAAGCAATTGTTTGAAACTGTTAAAACTGTTTCTTTCAGTCATTGCCTCAGTGTCTCAGAACAAGACTGTTGCCACTTTCTGATTTTTCACTTGTAGGCATTATTGATTTCTCACTGTGGAAGACGGGTAACACCCCCACACCCCCACACCCCTTGGGCACAGTCACAGCATCATTTAGCTTACACCAGTATTGGGGATTGTTTTATTATACTCTGAACGTGCCAAGCCATCAGGTACAGGGTCATTTTTCCTGCACAGCCTTTTGGCGTCCCTGGAGTTAAAGCTTGTATTTCTTTTTCCTTTCGTTGATGCGTGTGCTCTGTGCTCATCTCTGACTGATCTCCTGGTCCCCCTCAGTATGGAAACCCCCTCAGGAGGCTCAAGCACATTAAGTCACCTGTCACTCACATCCTGAAGCGTGTCTCTGGGGCCTGCTGACCTGCCCCAGCGAGCAGCCTGCTGCTTGGTGGCTCACAGCTCTGACTCAGTTTTGTTTTTATTTCTCAAATAATGGCTTTGAGATTTAATTCATACCATACCATTCAGCTGCTTTTACTGCATTTGTGAGGTTATATGACTGTCACACACCAATTCCAGAACATTCTTATCACCCCCGAAAGCAGCTGCAGGCCCATTAGCGGTAACTGACCCAGCTTCTGGTGAGGGACCCTGTGCTGGGCGTTTCAGGAGGACAGGTCCTCATGATGCATGGCTTTGGGGGTCTTTCCAGATGTGCCCATGTCACAGCAAGACCCAGCGCTGCATTCCTATGCGTGGCTGAGTGGGATGCTGTGAGGACAGACTGCGCTTTGTCCATCCCTTCTTCATTTGGGGTCTTGCCACTTTTGGGGTTTTATGAAAAAATCCTCCGGCTCACTGTGTGCTCGTCCCCTGTAACTTGGATTCTGTGCTCTACTGTTACTAGATTTGTTTTCTCCTTATCATGGGAGGCAGAGTGTCTGTGGGCTGTGTCTGCATGTCTGGGTGCCACCTCTCATGTGGTCGGCCGTGTGATTCGAGGTGGGAGATGTTTTTTGTTGATCCCTGGTTGGCCAAAGGGATTATTATAAAAAAGGTGAGACCTTTGGTTGCCATCCTCCCCATTTCCTGTTCCCCAAAAGGGCTTTAGAACCTTAGGCTATTTCCAGTGTGAAGCCCTCTGTGATAGGTGACACTTGAGCTTTTGCTCTAGCTGCCTCTGTGCTGTGACCCTGGTGCTGAGAAGGCGACTGTGGCCTCCCCCTGAGCCACGTGCTCACTGAGCCCGTCAGTCTTGACGCAGTGCCTGGGGCGCGGGGTTTTGAGGTGTTTCACCATGTACCTGCTCTGTGTCGTCTTCCCCCCTTTCTTGTGTTTCCTTTCTCATTTTCCACTTAGTTATCTGCTGTCTCTATTTTCTGGAAGTTTCCTGCCCTCCTGCGCTCTAGTCAGTGTTCCCTTGTGCTGTCATGGTTTAGCTGCAGAAAAGAGCTTTTTAGTTCTCTGTTTTCACTTTTTGAAAACTGTTTCCCTGTTCTTGTCTTATGACGCTGTCTTCTCCCCTCTGTCTCTGTGAGCATTGCTGGTAATTTGCTTTTGAAGTCCCCCACCTCTCTCTGCAAGCTGCATTTGTTCATTCTGCTCCTGTCTTTGATCTGAGCTGCTGTCTCTCAAGGGTGGTGACCTGGCTCTGTGCTCTCATGTTGGAGCAGTGCCCGAGGGTGGATGGGCAGCTCCATGGAGACTGATGTGGGGTCTCAGCATGTGGTCAGGCTGTGTCATCCTGAGGTCCATCTCCTCTCCTCTCTTGGCCACTTTAGGCTCACAGGGGACCCTCTCCTGTTGCTCCCTGCAGCTGTGTGTTGGCTGCTCTCTGTGGGAGGGAGTGGGTAGAGAGGGGCAGAATGGGAGAAGCCCAGGCGCAGGGTGTCACATCTCTCACTGTTCTAAGCTGCCTGGCCCTCAGCTCAGCCCGCGCTGCTGTGTTACATATGTCACAAGCCCAGGCCGCTCTGCCGTCTGCCTGTCACTCAGGCCTGTGGCCCCTCGTTTTGGTTTCTGGACCATCTTTCACTGCCCTTTCCCAGAGTGTGTGTGAGCACTTTGTGGTTCTTTAATGAGTCCTTCCATCTTAATAGGTTGAATTTGGGTGTGGTCCACTTCTACTTAGGAGTGGAACTCTTACCTCACTCTCAGCTTCTGAAATTCAGTCGTTTCCTCTGTAGTTCTTTTTTTCCTTAAGGGTAAGTTTAAAAATTTAAATTGATATCTTAATGGGATCTTGAGAGAATGTGGGTACAAGTTAATGAGTTCCAGCTCTGGTCTTTCACTAGAAGTCTTTTACATTTTTTTCTGTAAATAACTATTTCAAGCTATAGGTTGTCCCCGGGTCACTGCAGCAGGGGCTGCAGCGACAGTCCCCTGGCACGGGAACAGCATCGCGCAGGCGTCCTGTTGCTGGGGCCTCACTGGCGCAGCAGGCCCAGCCAGCTGTCCTGGTGGAGTTGTAGCCATTGGGTGGCTGGGAATGGTCACAGATCACGTCAGGTGTGGGGACTCCAGTGTTGCTCGGCCTTCCTCATGTTCACTCCCTCCTGGAGGTCACGGGGGCGAGCCTTAGATCCTCACCATCGTGGTTGCCAGGGCATCAGGAGAACTGTCGTGGGGAGCACACGGGAAACAGCCTCGTGCTGAGGCTCAGGCCGAGCCTTATTCTTGGGGCACACCCCTTCTGGAGGAGCTCCTTCCTGCTCTGGTTGTCCCACTTTCCTGGGAACCACGTGGCTGCAGTTCCCAGTCCTCCTTTACCTGCTCTCTGGAAAAAGCCCATACACATGGATGTGCACCTGGTTGTGGGTCCTGTGCCCTGCCCTGGGAGGCATCTCCCTGTGGCATGGCCTCGTGGTCACTCATGCATTGCCAGTAGAGCATTCACAGAAGCTGTCACCCTCGGAGGGCTTGCAGAAGCCAGTTCTTGGTCTTGCATGTCACCAGAACCCCATTACCATCCTACGTTGGACTGGAGGCAGGCACTACCTTGTGGTATAATGTTGTTGACAAAGAAATTTGGCCAACATAAAAGATCCAAGTGTAGGCCCCTGTGTTGCTGGGGCAGTGATGGCTTCCCTGGGATGGAAGAGTGATGAGGTTGTCTCAGACTCCTGTGCGTCTCTCCTGACAGTTCTGAAGTGAAGTTTATCCTCATTTTACTGTTATAAAATACTTTCGTGAGAACACTGTGGTGTGCAAGTATTTAGTAAGTGTGTGTGTGCATACACGTCTTGTGAATTCCTCAAATTTGGCCACATATTAAAGGATCAATGCACCTACAATATAGAGTGTATTTAGGATTTGAAGGATGATTTAGTGTTACAAATTCCTCTCTCTGGAGAAGCCATTTGGGAAGGAAGTTTTTTTTTTTTTTAAACTGGGAAAGTAACTTCTGATTAGTGGTAATATTCTTATGGACTGTCTTTCTTTTCCTAAAGTTGTGCCAAATCTTTGGAACGTTGATGGCGAAGTTACAGTCCCTGAACAGAAGCCAGGAGAGGTTGCTGAAGAGCTTGCAAGCTCTTACGAAAGGAAGCTCATTGAGGTAAGGTTGCCTGGGAGGAGGCTGCATGTCTATTTTGGATCTCTGCTCTGGGAATCTCTGGGGACAAGGCCTAGTGTGCTAAAATGGAGCCACTAGCAAGATGACCAATCAAGACCCCCCCCCCCCCCCCCCCAGAACAGAACAAAACAGAGATAAAACCAGTATAGACAAAGGAAAGTGGAGTTGATTCTTTGAAAAATGTCACTTAATTGGAAACATCTGGCACTTATGGTAAGGAAATGAGGGAAAGCACACATATGTACCATTAGAAGTTAAATAAATGAAACTCAGATTTGGAGGATAAAGGCAGGAGAGAACACTGCATTCAGGCTTGTGCTGGTGAGCTGGGCTGTGTCCTAGAATGGCGTTCGATGCCAAATTCAACTGAGGGTGAGGCCCACTGCCCGAAAGAGCCAAAAAGCTGTGCTTGAAAGTTGAAAAAGCAATCAAAGAACGGCTTCCCTGGTGATGTTGGGCCTCCGTGGCTTCATGGCGATTTCCAGGAACACTTTCAGGGCACCCACAGAGAGCCTTCTGCTGTTTGCATTTCCTCACAGCGTTCTGTACGTGCATATGTGTGTCTCTGTTACAGGGTATATCACTCTTCTATTAAAAACTGACAAAGCATAAAAAAACTATGCACTTGTTTCATTTAGGTAAGGATGTACAAAGATTCTAGAAAGAGATTCTTCAAATTCAGCCACATATTAAAGGATCAATGCACATACAAAATAGTGTATTTAGGATTTGAAGGATGGTTTAGCGTTAGAAATTCATCCATGTAAGTCATCTTACCAAGAGGTTAAAAAAGAAAAACCAGATACTGGGCTGGGGTTGTGGCTTAGTGGTAGAGTGCTTGCCTACCATGTGTGATACTGGGTTTGATCCTTAGCACCGTATAAAAATATAAATCAAATAGTTATGTCCATCTACAGCTAAAAATATTAAAAAGAATTGATTTGGATAGGTGATGAAATTTGACAGTGTTCATCGTCCATACCTGAAGAAAGTGATCTTGATGAATACGGACTGAAGTCTTTAGGCACAGTAGCATTTTATCATGAACCATCCACTGTCAGCACAATCATTGGTGAAGCTTGGGACCAAGGTTTTTATTATTTGTGTGTGTATGATGTTGTGGTGCTCAGCTGGGGGTAGTATTACAGGTCATGTCTGTAGATTCATGTCCACATGGAGGTCTGTAAGGAGACTTCCAGTACTTTCTAAGACTTCTCCAGTGAGTTAATTTTATAACCAGAAAAAGACCTACTAATTGTTAATGGGAACATGCTGGAGTTGGGGGTATGGGGGTGGGTCTGGAAGAGGATGCCTTAAGCTCATTCTCAGTTTGATCTGCTATTTTTATGCCATGCTTTCTGTGGTTCTTAAAACCACCCCTAAACAAAGGGGGCGGCTTAAGCAGCAACCTGAATTCCAACTCAGGTGAGCTCAAGGGAAGGTAAGCTGTGACTGGGGAGCGTGTCCAGCCTTGCATGGCCTCTTGTCCCCTATCATAAGCCCCTCTGTGAAGACTGATTTCAGTGGGGCGTGAGACTTGGTGTTGGCTGATGGCAGTGGCAGTGTTGAGCTGCCAGATGGGGGGCTGGTGGCTCAGGTCAAGCTTTCTCTGACCAGCCTGTGACTCCCCCTGGGAGGAGCCAGCTATGTGCCTGAAGCAAAGACATCCTCACAGGGCACGTCCTGCCCAGACTGTGTCTCATTCTTCTTTGGTTGCATAGCCAGTTTCTGCCAGTGTCCTTCCATCTGTGACAAACTGTAGCCTTTCATGACACCAAGGCACTGGCTGAGCCCTCAGCTCTCCTGGATGGAGTCCTTGTCGCCGTGCTTGGGGCTGTTGCTCTGCCACCTTGTTCTTGGGTTGATGTCCACCCGCCATGGGAGTGGAGCAGTGAGCGCCTGTGAGAGGCTGACGCAGGCTCTTCCACTTCAAAGGGCGGAAGAAGAGGCCATGCTTCGTGTCAGATAACACGGCTGTTGGGACACTCAAACCTGCGATTCACCCACTGTGAAGGGAGCTCCTGAGCATTTCACTTCTGTGTTCATCTTAGGAATCAAGAAAACCGCCGCCCCCACTGCCCATTCACACAGCACCTTTGTTCTTGGTGGCCTTGAGCCCAGGGTCAGGGCAGCTCAGAACCTAACGTTAGCACCACAGAAACATCTGTCACTAGTGGGTGACTGTCAACTGCCAATGACCGGAGGTGAAAAATTTTTTTGTTGTTGTTCTGGGGCTGGTAATGTGGCTCACTGGCAGAGGGTTGCCTAGCATGTGCGAGGCCCTGGGTTCCATCCCCAGCACAGCAGAAGCAAAGAGAGCTCCTCCCTTCTTGGACTGCAGTGACAGTGCTGAGAATTTGTTTTGTAAACTCCCCTGGCTCTGATGTAAGGCATCAGAAGAGGTAGATTGGTTTTCACTGAGGGTTTTGAAGAGAAAGCCCTTGAACCCTCAAGGACAGATGCAACACCAGCTTCTTTGCATCTTTTAAGTGCAATTTCTTTGGTTTAGATTCATTTCTGGAGATTTTTGCATTCTATTCTAGCAGTTGGCTTCAATAAGAATGTCAGATATTGGAGGCATTTGCACTTTGATTCTACCTGGTGGCCTGCAGGGCACACACACTGTCCCTTGTCGTACTGAGTTCAGGTTGCCACTTTCTCCCATGAGTCCCTGGGTAGGCCACCCAGGATATTAAGCCCCAGTCAGCCAATAAAACCTGCTAGTGGGTTGCTTTGGGGATTGAGCGCAAAGATCCAGGTTATGACCTGGAGCAGACAGGAAGTGCCCTTGTGCCCCTGTTTCTCCCTTGGTTCTGACATCCTTTGGGGGACTACCTTTTCTCAGTTGCCTTGTTGAGTCAGAAAATCCAAGCACTCTGCCCTCCCTTGGCTCAGGATGGGCGTTTGGTCTGAAGTGGGGCAGCTGGGATTCAATTCCTGAGTCACACAGGAATGCAAGGTGCTGGGGAGGCCATCTGGACGGCCAAAAGCCACATGAAGCATTGTTCCACACACTGATTACAGTGCACCTGCTGAGGCTCCCCTGGTATCCCTGGGTTGCACTTGCCACAGCTGTTCTGGGTCCAGTTCCTTCTGAGCCAGATGCTCCCACTTTCCCCGCTGTTTACAGTCAGGGTTCTCTGACTTTAGCTTAGAATCTGCTTCTGTTGCTTGCCACTGAAGTGTCCCAACTTATAGGACGTAAGATAGGTACGTGTTACTTCCCTTCGTCTCCTCCTCCATGCCCTGCCCACTGGAGTTCAGTTCTTCTCTGTGCTGCCCTCTGACTGCCCTGAGTCTTGCTTGGCATCCCGCACCTCCCTGTTTGCTCCCTCTGCCGCCCTGTGCCCCAGCACTGCCTGTCCAGCCTCTGCAAATGGAACTTTGCTTCTGTCCATATGGCAGGGCTCAGCCAGCTGTGGACTGGTTTCTCAGGTTCTGGGATACTTGTCACTTACTGGATGAGTGTAGTTAGTCCCAAGGTTTTTGCTCATTGGTGAAATAAATGGTATATTAGCAATATTTATTCTCATTATAATGACAGGTTTGCTATTTATGGATAAGTAAGCTTAAGCATCAAGCTGGTAAGAAGAAAACCCATAATGACATGCTGCAGAGAGCTGTGGATGTGATCATCATTTTAATAAAACGCAAAAGTTCCCAAATCAATTGGGACCTTGGACACAGGAATATCGCAGTATTGGCTTACACGTTGTCTCCTATGGGAGTCATTTTTTTTTTTTACATAAAAATGCGTAGATTTTAAAATAAAAAGTCACACCCAAAAGTTACAGTAATTCTTCATTAACGTTGACCATCTGGTGAGTGTTCAAGTTTCCAGTTCAAATCGTGTTTGAATAGGAAGCCACGCGGCAGCTGGTGGATGAATTTGTGTCTTTTGATCTACAGGTTTCCCACTTCTATCTCCCTTCTCTTTCTGTTTTACTTGTAATTTACTAGTTGGAAAAACTGGGTCATTAATCCTGGAGAATTGCTCCCACTGGTGCTTTCTGAGATCTGTTTTACACTTGGTACCCTGTAACCTGTTAGGGTTTGGTGACATTCATTTAATGACAGCAACTACAAATGCCAATGATAATGATGTTGATAGTGACCCTCTATTTATGCTGACTGCTATTTCCAGGCACGGTGTTAATTGATTACATAGACTATCTAATGTTTGCTTCATCGTTGTGGATGAGGAAACTGGGGCTTGGCAGTGATAAGTCGCTGGTCTGTGTTCAGGAGGCTACCCCACCAGTGTTGAACCAGGACTTGATCTTGGCTGACTCCACACTTGGTGTTCTTTCTGTTACCCTCTGTGGCCTTCCCTGTACCTGCTAGGAACAGGAGCTGGGACTTGCTTGTCGGCTGGCTAAGGGAGTCAGGACAGTGAAAGCAGTGGCAAGCCTGCTAGCTCTTAGCTTGTCAAGCCCACGGGTATAATTGAAGGGACAAGGAGAAAAATGGCAGCTGGCAGACGGTTCCCAATGTGAGCACGTATCGGCGTAAACAAACCTGTGTGCTTGCTCAGATGCCAGGCCCATCAGACACCTCTTGTCCTCTGCCTGTTCCTGAGCATTGGTGTGACCTGTCCAGGGCAGCAGAAGGGACAGAGCTTGCTTTTGGAGGCTCTTGGTTCTTTCCTCCTCTCCTGGCCTTCCAGTTACCCATCACGTTGGGGCAGGGCATGCACAGCTGCAGGTCACAACCGGGCCTCTCTGCAGGCACCCAGATCCCAGAGCATTTGTGCTTGCTGATCTTATGGTTTCTTTTCCAGGAGATCTTTGGGCATCTCATTCCCACTACTACATGGCATTGTCTCCGTCCTCAGTGGCGATGGTGTCCAGGCTCAGCTCCATGCCATTTGCTCTGCCTGGTGTGTGCTGATGAGTCTGTTTCCCTCGAGGCCTCACTGCTGGGAGGGCCTAGAGTGGGGTCTGGAGCACTGGGAACGCACAGATGAACTTCCACAGAGAACA